CCCATTCCATTTCTTTCATCACATGACCTGATCCAAATTACATAGGACCTACCCGTGAAATCCTTTACACCCAAAATAGTTTCATACCGTAATTTAAACCTTCTGTTCTATGAATCCCTACAACCTGACCTTGACTGTTTCCAATGGGACATCATATCTTCCTATGATTCCATTGATCCTATGGTATGATCCTATCCTTTGTGACGTAGTACGGAGCATTAACTATTGTTCGAAGGACTTTGGATTGAAAGGATTGGATATGTTTGATGTTCGAAGATTTAGTTGTCCTCCACAGTTCAAGTCCATAAGTCCAGATGGGTTTTAGTTTGGTCTTATAGACTAGTAGTTTGTTATCAGTTGAGAGATGTTAGTTTCTGTTCAGTAGTCTATATAATTGTCCAAATCGTTGGTTTAGCTCATGTTTTTTGAGTCTGGTGTGAGGATTCCATGTCAGTCTCTTGTCTAGAAGGAAGCCCAATTACTGGACTGTATCTGAGAAGGGAAGAGGTATGGAGTCAAAAAATATGGGCAGACAGGATTTGCGTCAGAGTGTGAAAATGGTATGCTTACATTTCGATTCATTTACTTTAATACACCAATCCTTGCACCATTGCTCAATTACGGAAAGATGACTTTGCAGGTTTAGGAATGCCTTTTCAGGTTCTGTGTGGATGGAAAGGATTGCTGTAATACCAGCAAATATTGCCCGGAAGGTATAGAGATTTTGTAGGGATGTCAGCAGTATGGAGGATGTAGAGAACTGGATCCAAGACGCTGCCTTGTGGAACACCAGCTTCTATTGGATAATGGTTGGAGATTCTGTGAATGGCACTTGAAAGGAACAATTGGAAAGATATGATCTTAGGATTAAATATAAGGATTGGGGTTAGTGGATTTCGAGTTTGAAAAGCAAGCCATCGTGCCACATCCGGAAAGCTTGTGCTACGTCCAGAAAGGCACTGGTGCAATATTGCTTGCTTTCATGTGCAGAGGATATATGATCAATGACGTGAAGGCCTTGTTGAACTATGTCCTGAATGTCCTGAGCAGAAGCCAAGCTGATGTGAGGGAATTTCTTGGGATTCGATATATTTGGATAGGATTCGTTTCAGAAGTATTTTTTCAAATACTTTTGAATGGATTGGGAGAAGACTTGTTGGTCTATAGGATGAAGTTTCATTGGGAGGTTTGCCTGGTTTAAGAAAAAGGATGATTATGGAGCTTCCACTTTCATATCAGAGGAGAGTGGGTTGTATGAAGGATACAATTATATAGATAGATAAGGAATATAATAGCTTTTTTAGGAAATTGTTGAAGGATCTGTGAAGTGAGGAGTTTTCTGGATTTCAGTTTATTTATAAGGAATTTGACCTCAGAGGGGTTAAAGATTTAGGAGTTAAGGAGAGAGGAATTCCTTAGCTTTGGCTGTGTGACAGGGATTTTGTTTAAGATGGGGAATGGATGTTTTGGATAGATGTTTTGCAAATTCCTCTGTCCTGTTCTCATCTGACAAAGCCTAGGAGCCATCATCACACTGGAGGGGATGGGAAGTGGTGTGGTATTTTAGGATTTTTTTTGTTACATTCTAGAGAGAGTAATCAGAAGCAGAGAGCGAAGAGAGTTGGGAATTGAAGGATTAGGATCTGAAGGTAGCCAATTTCTTTTTTAACAGTTTAGAAAGGTGGTTGTATAATTTCCGGTCTTCTGGATGCCTGGTTCTTTGCCAGTGGGTCCTGGAACATTTTTTGACATAAATGAGGTCTGCAAGGTCTTGAGGTAAAGGATTTTTCTTGCAGTATTTCAGGGAAGGAAAAAGTGAGAAAGCAGTCCAAACTGCTTGTTGGATCGAGGTCATGAAGAAATTTACGGTATCGTCTAGGTCTTGGGGAGTTTTTAGGGATACTTTGGGGTCAATTTTTTCTTTTAATATTTGTTGAAAAAGGTTTCAGTTAACTGGATCCCTTATGAATGAAGATAAAATGATTTGGGAATTGCTGATGTTGAAAGGGACTATGATCAGAGGATAGATCGTCGAGCCCTGAGACAGAATAATTCAGTGGCCCTAGACCTTTGAGGATGAAGAAGTCTAGGAGGTCGGGAATTCGTCGGTTGGCCAGTATGTGGGAGTGTTGAGTGAGAGGATTTTGCTATGATGGGAATTAAGTCAGACAGCAATGCCTGCCTTCGGATATTCGTCGTTCTGGCTCCCCATTGCTGATGTTTAGCATTTAGGTCTGCACCTAGAAGGAAATGGTGTCCTAAGGAATTAAGGGAAGAATTTAGTTTGGATTCGGAAATGGATGTTTTAGGCTGGGAATACGCTGCAACAATTGTTAAAGGAAATAATGGCGTTTGAATTGTGACTGCAGTGGCCTGTAGAAAATCAAGGATAAGTAAGGGGACCAAATGATGGGAAATGGATTGATGGATGATGGCAGCAGTACCAGCATGGGTTGTTCCATTGGGGTATTCAGTTTGATAGATTTGGTAGTTAGATATAGTTAATAGTTGTTTACTGGTCAATCGGGTTTCAGTTATTAGAGCTATGTCAATATATTAAAATTGTTTGTTCGTTGATTTCGTAGTGTGATTTTGAACACCATTTGCATTCTAAAAGAAAATGGAAAGGGATTTGTTTGTGGTCATTTAAGGATTTCTTGGGGATGGGATTAGATTTGACACAACGTTTTTAAGTTGGGTGATGAGAGGAATGATGTTAGGAGGCTGGTGTGGTCATTGGCATTGTTAGGAGGAGGTATGTAGGAGATTTGGTGGTGACTGTGGTGCACATACTGCTGGCTCCTGTCTGGGCTTCCTGCAGTCCTCTGTTTTGTGCTGAATTCCACACTTAACACAGCGTTAAGGCTATTTTATTCTTTATTCTGGTATGTTCCCTTTCCTCTTTTTATACAAATACAATTTGACGAACCTGGAATCTTAGCCGTCAATTCTTCTTTTATGATATCTAGTGGTGTTGAGGGATAGTTTATAAAACAGACAATGATAAGATTCATTTCCGGAAATTACATAAAATTTAACTAATCAATAAATATACAATAAAAAGGTTTATTGGCTAAATAATACTGAATTAAGTTATAAATACGTATTAAGTTATAATTGAAGAGTCCATCTTAAATGTCTTAGAATATAAGAATATAAAAAGTAAAAATAAAAAAATGTTTTGGACAATTAAATTATTTTATTAATATTTGTTTAATACAATCAAAATAGTGTACTAAAAATGTTATTATAGTGCTATGATTATATAAATAGTAAAAATAATAATCAAACTTGGTGAAACAAAAAATCATTGATTTTTTATGCTAACTTAAACAGTAGGGACCACCATTTACTTCTCATAAATTCAATTCATAAAATGAAATTTTATGATTGCGGATCGTCTGATTGGGATGTAAGGAGGTATTGGAAAAGAAGGTATTTGAAAGATGACAGGGGAGAGGCATGACGGATGTTATATAAGGAATTCCAGAAGGTAAAGGAATGGGCTAAGAAGGCACATTCATAAGTTTTTGTCTCATGGGAGGGAATATAGATCAGAATAACCGGATCTTGTTTTTAGTGAGTGGACTGAGGGTTTAGGCTGAAGGAGACAGTAGATATAGGAAGAGTGCTGGTAGTTGATTCGTTTGGTATAAGAAATTTCCAAGGAAGTATTGGCGGTGGGAAGAAGGGAAGAATCACTTTGACTCGGAATAAAATTGGGACCATTTCAAAGTACTGAAGACGAATCTTAAAAAACAGTTCATGATTCTTCTCAGTCTATCCTCAAGCGCTAAGAAGAGGCCACAGTATACCACACAGCCGTAGTAAAAGTGGGGGAAAATCAATGAGAAAATGAGGAGCTTGCGGATAGGTTGTGGGAGATGCTGACGAGAACGATTGATAATTTGAGTGTACCATTTGACCTTCAGGAGATATGAGCAGTATGTGGTTTCCAGGATAGGTTTTGATCAATGGTAATTCCTAAGTTTTTTTACAGAGGAGGTAAAGGAGATTGGTCTTTAATAATCAAGGAAGGAAGGGTGGGAATGGATCTAAGGAGGAGTTGGAACCTATAAGAATGGCCTGAGTTTTCGTTGTGTTTAACTTTGATTTATACGTATTATAAGTGACAAACTAAAAATTCCTGATCCTAATATTTACGTTTTCATGAAAATAATTGAAGCAATTAGCAGGTTATTTTATTTTAAACATTTTAAACAAGGACTAAAAACATTTAGTTTGTCATTTATATATAGAGATCAATTCCTATAATAGCACCATTTCCTATGGGTAAGAGGCAGATTTTCATTACCACTTAAACTGAAAAATAGTTGAAAAATCATTATTTTTAACATTTTATTTTTAGAAATAAAAAGTTTTGTTATGCATTTATATTTACTATTATACATCTCAGTTCATTGAAAAAATAAATAAAGTAAAGCTTTGAAATAATTTATTTTAGTCATTTTTGCTGACAACACAAATACTTTTATGTGACCAAATATAAAATCACATAATTTTTATTCAAAACTTGAGGTGAATCTTTTTTAAGTTTTTTTTAAAAACATATATGATTTATTTCTACTATTTTTATCCTAATTATCGCGTTGAAAAAGTTCATTAAGAATTTTTTATATATATATTTTTTTTTTATCATGTATGTACCATTTCTTTTTATAATATATTTCCATATCCTCTTAGGTAAAAAGGGTTGCAACCTTAATGAAGAAATGGGGTTAGTGCTACAAGCCTGTGTATAGTTGGAATATTAAGATTTGTCTGTAGTAATTAAGCAGTTTTGGTCAATCCTCGTCTAATATATAATTTATTGAAATAATTTATTTTTAGAAAATTATACTAACAATTTTTTTCCATCATATTCATTTTTTGTTTTATTTATAATATTATGGCTATTGTTTATATTATCTATATACAAACTTTTATAAAATAATATGTATTTATATTAGTATGACTATTATTGATATATATTGTTTCAGAATATACCACTGGCACTCTCCTGTCTCTGATATTCTGGTGCTCTATGGTTTCAGCAACTCTCATTGCCATATTTTACAATGGTTCAGAGTATGTAGATTGCCCAAGACTGTGCCCTCTTCTTAGGTCACCATCTGTCTAGCTAAGCTGTATGGATAATGGTATAACAGGAGGTACTATGTTTTATAAAAACTCAGAATATTTCTCATTAACTGTTATTTGCTAACAGTCAGTGTGCACTTAGTTCAGGAATTACACCCATGGGGCAAAATAAATTATATATTTGCGTTTTTTATATTTGTAATGAGGATTAATAGAGAACTATATTATATAATTTACTCTAAAATATACCAGTATTAACTACAATCAAGCTTACTGATTCATTATAAGTTATGGGTAATAAACTGACTTTCTAAATGACTGACTGAATAATAAACTAGGTTATACTATTTGCTATATAGAAGGATTATTTACAATTATCTTATTTTCTATGTATTATTAACACTATTTACAATTTTCTTTTTTCTGTTGGCATTACAGACCATGTACATCTTTTGCCACCTTAACAAGCCTGTCTTGGGCTATTTCTTTCCATTTATCTGCACGCAACTCTATCTCATATTTGTTGATTCTATCTAACCATCTGTTTTTTTGGTCTTCCACGTGGTATTTTGCCTTCTATTGAGGCATTCATTGTTACGTAGAGGCTTCCAGATGGATTGCTACGAGCTACATGCCCCGCCCATCTTAACCTCCCTGCCTTCATATCATGGGATATTGATTGACCAGTTTCTGTAAGCAGTTCTTTATTGGTCTTTCTTCTCCATGTGTTATTACTCTGATCCCAGATTGCTCTGGCTATCGTGCGGAGGATTTTCCTCTGAAATCATTCAAAACTTTTTTCTAAGGTGCTGGTTAATGTCCAAGTCTCACAGCCATATATTAGAACTGGCTTTATCATAGCATTGTACACCCTTAGTTTGAGATTTCTTGAGATTTTTCAGAATTTCAATACCTTTGAGAGGGAGAAGAAAGCTCTGTTTGCGTTAGTTATACGCTGGTCTATTTTTGCCTGTTGGTCATTCTTTGAGGTTATGTGGAGCCAAGGTATTTGAATTTTTGTACTCTCGGAAATGATTTTTCTGATTCCAATTCCAATAATTCTAAAATTAAGTATATCAGTTGCACATACAGCGTTACAGCAACCTTTTGCTAAAAATCAGCTAACCACGTGTGCCACTTTATATCCTCAATTGTACACATTTTTACAATTTTCTCAAAAACGGCTCTAACGATTTTGATTAAATTTAATATATCAGAGCAAAATTAAGCGGTTTTTAATATAATATAGGTATTATTCTCATTTATGTTCTCTAACAGAGCTTAAATGCCTAATTTTCAGAATCTTTTCCTTTAAAGTACCTTTATTTTTCTTTATTTGAAATTATTAACCATCTTACATAGTAACCTGCTAAAAAAAAAATGGTTATCTATAAAATATGAAAACAATTTATAAAATAGAAGGGTGATATAAGGGATCCTAATAGAGAACTGAAAAAACTCGAGCTTGGCTGAAAGGTCAGAATGAACTTCCATACTTAACACGTGCTTAATAAAATACAGGTTCCGATAATATTATATACATATGCATGTACAGTTTTAATAAATGTTAGCATTGGTATTATTTAACATTTGATTGTATATAATACAGGAATATAAAAATTAAAATTTGTATAAAAACCAATGCTTAAACAAATAAAAATATTTACAATAAAATATAATTAAATATTGTGTCCTTTTTTATCAGTGACCTCTTGTCAGACTAAAAATATTTCGTGACACTCAATTATCTCTCTATCATATAAAAAAGATTTTAGTGACTCATATTTTATTTTATTTTAGTATTAAGAGAGTAGGAGGTGACAGGATCTGAAGTAGTGCTCCTCTACTACGGCGATTATTTTCCAAATTATACAGCTGTTCATTTAATTATATGTGCGTTGAGATCTTGTTACCTCATACTCTCCTTGTGCAAAATATAGTTTTTAGACTAAAAATTTATATGGGTAAAATTTATATCTGTAATTCTGAAGGTTTTGTGTATTAAAGTATTTAATATATTGAGTTTTTGATGCTGGGCATAATCGGAATAAAAATTCAACATGGTTTCGCAGTTCTCTAGTTTTTTAGTCCATTGGGTGTTGAAGGTTACACTTACTGTCTTTTATAATTTCCATATTCAAAAATCTTACTTTCTCATTCAATCTTGTTCAACTGTAAATTGCAATTTTTTATGAAAATTATATTATTTATGGAATATCTTAAAAAATTAACAAAACTTAGATTTACAAATTATAAAAATTAATAAAAAAAATGGGTTGGACATCTCAGGTTATTTGATTTGATAAAATTTCATAAGCTAGGCCAGGCTTTAGACCCATTGTAAATAGAATGAAAGGTCCAACCTATAAAATGTCAAAAAATTTCAAAGCATCTCTAAAGTTCATAAGGGTAGATAATAAATATGATGCAAAAAACTAAATAGATATAAAGAACAGATTAAAAATATATAAAAATGGAAAAAGAGGAAATTTAATTCTGATGTTTATACATTCTCTTTTCTAATATTTGACCAGTCTCGCCTATATAGACAAATGAACAATCTAAACATTCTATTTTATAAACCACATCAGAGTGCTTTTCTGGTGGTATTTTATCTTTCATGTCTGTATACCAGTTTTTTATCTTATTTTTCAACTTATACACTAGACATTTTTTTTTTTTTTTGTGGGGGGGGGGTGTCATTCTTTGTTCTTCATCATTCATTATCTCCATGTTTTTATACCACAATTTATCTATGATTTTCTTTTAATAAAAATTATTCTTCAGAATATTGAAATCCTTTTCTTTTACTTTATTTTTCCATGATTCATCTGTAATTCTAATGGCTTTGTATATTAAATTATTTAATATATCGAGTTTATTTTGAGGGGTTTGAGGGGGAGTTTATTGACAGCACAGTTCCCATGGGGAACCCCCTCCCTCATCCCCCAGCTGGAGGAATATATTATCTTGAAATAAAAATAATTTAAAAAAAACCTCTCATAAACCAGTTTGATCCCATATATAAATATTTCCTTGTTTATTATACCATATACGATTTTTTAAGGTATATTGGTAAAAAGAGGTTTGTTTATTTGGTTAAAAGAGATAAAAAGAGAATAATCTTTATCATTTATAAATTTAATCCCACGCGAGGTGTCCTATATTTTATTAAAGATCTTTATTATCTTAAGTATTTTACATTTGTCTATCTTTTTTAAAAGGCCTACTAATCACATTTAGTCCTGTTAGTAGAGCAAATATATTGGCTTTAGCCCCATTGTTATTTACTGTCACTATCCTTTTACTGTTATTAGTTGTTATCTACCTGTTTTTCTTTTTAAATTATCCATTTTTATAACAAATAAATATTTTGGTTATCATCACTAGCGGATCCAGGATTTAATTTTGGGGGGGCTTCAGCCCGAAAGATTTTTTTTCATATATATATAACGATAATTAATTTGAAAAAAAAAGAAGAAAGAAATGAACTACCTATATGAAATGGTGTTTAAGTGATTCTTGAAGTCCTATTAAATGTAATTACACGAACAATAATACTTTAAGAGATAGTTTTTAATATTTTTTTCTATAAAACATGGTTATGTTTTACAGTTTTGGGGGGGCTTCAGCCCGAAAGCTTTCTCCCTCTGGAATTCTATCCCTCCTGATATTAGACAAATACAATCAGTTTCATCTTTCAAACCTCTCCTCTTTAAAAACCTACTCCTTTCTCAATCAGACTGTCCATGAAATCTACCTAAGAGAACTCTTTAAGTACCCCTAGAAACAATTCCGGTTTGCTTATGTTATTCTAGTTTCCGATGTTCATTTCATATACCTAGTTCTGCCATAAATACTGTTACAAAAGTTGAACTTTGTTTACATCCTTGGGTATTATTTAGATAATCCTTACCTCTATCAGGTTATTTTCTTTACATGTCGGGATAATAATCCCAATTAGTTTGTATATTTCTTTCGCTCAGTTAACATGGAGTGGGTTGATAAAGAAAGCCGAATAGCTTTGCTCACCTTACACAAAGTTGGAAAATGTAGGTCAGAGATTATGTTCGTGTACCACACTATAAGTAGATATAATGAGACCCTATCTGTATTTGACAGACCTCGACTGGGCCATCCCCACACTGTGGGAACAGCAAATGCAGTGAGAGCAGTGGCTGCTTGAATCAGAAGAAATCCCATTCAAAACAACAAATCATTTCTCGGGAAATGGAAATCTCTATCAGATCAATGTCTTGTATAATACAAAGTGACCTTAGGATGGGTGCATTTTGAAGAATGACAGGAGAAAGGCTAACCACTTCCCTAAAAAAAATTAGAATGGATAGATGCAAAGTGCTCCTTGGCTGTTATACCAATGGTCTTCATCGAAAGATTTTGTTAAGCGATGAGAAAATGAAAAAGAAGGCATTGGAAGAGTGGAAAGAGTTTATCACCCTTCCTCAGTGGGGAGTTCGCTTTGATGGCACCACAAAGCTCCATTTTTGTGAAAATGAAACTATCAGCTAAAAACTATCAGGATGATATTTTGAAATCTGTTGTCAAGCCTCTAAATGATACTCTGCTTGCTAGAAGTCATTGGTTTTTCCAGCAGGATTCCGCTCCAGCTCACAAGGCCAGGTCAACTCAGCAGTGGCTGAAAAAGAATATTCCAGAGTTCATCTCTGCCTCGGATTGGCCCTCAGGAAGCCCTGATCTCAACCAACTAGATTATTGGCTTTGGTCCGAATTGGAGAGGATGGCATGCCAAAGAGCACACCCTAACTTGGAAATTCTTAAACAATCTCTGGTCCGAGCAGTTGAGCGTTTTCCTCAAGAAGTGCTGCGTGCTGCTATTGGCCACAGAGATTAAATGCCTGTGCCAAGACAAAAGGGGGACATTTTGAGTAATTTCTTTTTGTTTTACTCTCTATAGATATACATTTTATTTTCTAATAAAGTTTTTGAAAAAAATAATTTTTCTGTTGAAATCTGTATATATTTCCTTGTAACAATATTTATGACAGGACTAGGTATTTATGCATTTTTTTTCTCTCACTTTTTCTTTTTATTTGTATTTTTTATCTGTATTGTAAATACTTAATTTATGTATGTCCACACTGGTATTTATCTTGTGCTTATAATTTGTTCTAAAGGGACAACAGTCCCAGAATAATAAAAAAAATATTAAAAAAAAAAAAATTCAGTATTCAAAGTCATAATACTAAATACAATCATAATTGTATAGTTTTATTTGAATACAAATATAATTCTTGATTATGGCTATTCTTTTTACAGATATTAAATAAATAAAAATTGTTTTACAGAAATTTGTTTCAATTAGGTAAGATTTTCATGTTAACATATTTTACTTTACTCTTTCATCTCCATGCTGATATAAACTGTTCCTCTTTACTGTTCATCCTTTTTTTTTTTTTTTTTTCTTTCTTAAGGGGCTGTAACTACTTGGATCCATTAACTTCTTCCTGATACTAAAAAAGAAAAAAGAAGTGTAAATACTTTTCTAATTTATAATAGAACCAACATTCTGTAGGATAAGTGCTCTTAATACATAGTATTTCATCGAAATCACATTTTTAAATTGTAATTACCTTTCGTTGTAAACCTATGACTTCCTGTCCTACATTATCCTTTAACAATACTCCACTTATCCTTGTTGAACAAATCCGATACCTAGGATTTCACCTGGATAAACGTCTGACTTGGAATCCTCATACCTGACTAAAACAACAAGAAACTGCTCAACATTTCCGACTACTTCAGCACTTAACATACAAACGCTCTAATATTTCAATTAATTACAAAAGATTCATATACATGACTATAATAAGGTTTATGGAGTTGAGCTATGTGGCTCCACTAAACCATCAAATTCTTCTCATATCAAATCCTTACAATCTAAAATCTTTCATAAAATCCTCAATGCTCCTTAATTTGTTATAAATAAAATCATCCATAACGACCTTAATGTTCCTTATGTTTCAGATTTGGTCCAATCCAGATTCTTATCCTTCCATAATAAACTACAGAACCATTCCAATCCTCTCATTTCTAACGTTGCTTCCTCTTTGATTCCTGATAATCCTGTGAGGCCTCTGAAAAGAAGATGGCTCCGTGATCTTCTAATGTAGTCTTATTATTACTCACCAATGAATGCTTTATCAACATGTGTTTTCACATGTGTTATCATAATCATTTGTTCACACTTACTAGATATATTTTATTTTTAATACAGTTGTAAATACCATGAATAAAATTTAAAGAAAAAAATAATAATTTACCTCTATTAAACAACTGTTGTTAGTAACGACAGTGCATGTCTCATGGGTCTATTTATTTATTTAATTTAATTTTTTTTATTTTAGGTCATGCTGAAGAAGATTCCAGTCTTTTTTAGTTTTCATTCTTTCATGGTGTAAAAGTTGTAAATTTTTATGTATAGAATAAAATTCTTGTGTTTATATCTTCATATTTATGATATTTTCCTTTAATTTAAGCTTCAATCACCACTACATTCGATTATTTTGCAAATACATTTTTGTAAATATTTGTTCGCAATTTTCTTTATAAATGATTGATGAGGCTGACAATGATGATGTAAATGAAAGTGTTTAGATCCTAGTCTATTGAAAAACTTTTGTTTAAAAATAAAATCAACATTTGTGTGTACTTAAATAAAAGCAAATTAAAATTTTTGTGGATTTTATCTTGATTAAAATTTTCATAAATGCTTGTAGACATTTTTTTAAACAACTATTATGTTATGATCATTTTTTTATTAATGGTTAAATATTTTACTTAATTTACTAGTAGGTGTATTTATGTTGGCCTGTTAAGAAAAATGGAAAACAGGAAATAAAATGAATTCCATTCCATTGTATTGATGATTTAGCAGTTTTTAAATTAATTATTTGTAATAATGAATTAGGTCTAGTATTCAATATATAAAATTTTATTTACCGAGAAAACAAACAAAGAGAGTTAACAATCCATTTTCGATAATTAAGAATAATTCTTCATTGTTGTAACTAACTCATGAGTGACCCTAGTATGATTAATTAATTTACTTGCTTAAAATTAGTTATTATATTCTTTATTTTTAACAAACATCTTTGAAATAAAAGATCGTTGAGTTAAAATAAAAAACAAACAGAAATCACTGTACTCCAGTTTTTATCAATATATAACCCTAGGAACCCAATGAGTAGATGTGTTCAAATGTATTTCAATAAAATAGTTATGTTATTAATATTATCTCAACTATACTCTTTATTTAACTTCACAAGAAGCTAGATTATTATTTATTTTAGTTTATCATCCCTTTTTTTTTTTTTAAATTACATTGTACAATGATAGTGTTTACATTATTGATGATTCATTACTTGTTTTTTTAATTTTATTACTTCCTTAGGAAATATTGAACCCAAGACCCTTCATGGATTTTACTGGTACTTTAACTTATTTATTGAAAAAATATTATAATCTGTCTCAAGGACATTTATAATAGTGTTCACAGATCACATTCACTCTCTATGTACAATAAATAAAATAAATTATACAGAAAAATAATATATATACAATAAATAAGAATAAAATAACCTAAAAATAAATGAATAAAAAGGACACATACATACCTATATACAATATTTACAATCTGGCGAGAGAACTCCAAACTGTGTCACTGGGGCTAAACCCAGTGGAGATTGTGCAAGAGTGCTTTAGCCACATACACTTATTTCATGAGTGGAGAATCTAGCCATTGCCAGAACTCCAATATTTACAATTTAGCGGCACTAGAATGATTTATATAACAATATCAATAACTGTAAGGTAAAAATTGAATGATTCAGTATAAGATGTGCAGTAATCGCTAATATCACTAAGTACGAAAAATCAGCTTGAGTTTGCCCATTATACAAAATATTATTTTCCAGGAAATGCTTCTATGTACTGAAAACCTACCTATTCCATGTAGGGTGACCTGAGATCAAAAGGGCCAATTTGTCTTAGCCAACAGAAGTATGTTTTGTCCAATTAGGTGGAAACAGCTAATATAGAAAAAAATATACCAGTCTTACATGAGGTGTTTAACACTAAACATACCATAACGGGTCAAATGACCCATTTTGAACTTTTCCATTGAAAATTCACGTATAATTTTATTGCGTTTGCAAATTTGACTTCATGACTTTTTCTAAGTAATTAATGTACAGTTATAAAAATATTTTTGTTTTGTTTTGTTTATTCTGAGTAATCCTTGTTGTATACCGATATCTACCACAACAGGTCATTTGACCCGGAGAGAATTTTTTTGTTTTATGAGATTATCTAGTCATATTTGTAGTCAGTAAGTTGCACATTCTTCCAAAGACTGTTGCGTAAAGTAATTCAACGAAAATAGCTCAGAATAATTTCAAGAAAATATCAAATTTTAGATTGAAAATAGCTTTTTAGTGTAAGAAAAAGTGGCAAAAATTGAAAGTCTTGGTAAGTACCTAGCTTATATTTTATTTTGATAGCGATAGTAATACAGATCATTTTTTACCCAGAAAAATGTCTAAGCAAACAAGACAGTACAAGTTCTTAGAAGATATAAATAATATTGGCGAAGAGTTTTTAGAAATTAGTGAAGATGAATTTTCTGAAAATGAAGATATATCGGTTGCAAATAAAAATGAGTTTGATTCTACAGATACTGACGATGAAGAGGAAAATATTGTGAATGTATGTAGTGGCCGAAAAAGAATAAGATTACTCACAAGTTCGGAAGAAAGTGAAGTAGAAATAAATGAAGAAAATGTTGCGAATGATGGATCTGTTTGACAACAAATGCAAGTAGGTGGCACACCTGGAAGAGCACCACTTCATAACATTTTCAGGCAAGAAGTTTTTATTTTTTGCTTTTGTAATAGAAATGCTCAACATACTATTTTGTTTAATCATAATAAATTTAATTTATATTTTTATTTCCTTTCTAACATCCATATTTCATACATTCAAGCATGAAACATAAAGTCGGGTCATTTGACCCGCTATGGTAGAAATAGGTATATATTAAGTCTTGGTATGATTAGTGTTAAAAACTATCAGTAAATTTAAGAAAATCTCAGTAAAATAACAGTAGTATATACAGTCAACGTCATCATGATATGTAGTAGTTTGTTTTTTCACACTTTATGAAAGAAATATAGTTAATATTGAATATTTAATAGTCGACCATTGCATTATAAAGGAAGGAGACCTATTTGGTGGTCATAAATAGGCTAAATAGTGGCAAAACTATTTTATTAAAAGCCAATGTTTCGACTCGACTTTGCAGGTCTTCTTCAGGGCTAGAACCGACAAGATACAAAAAGATATAGAGAATTGTGGAAGTTACATAATATTTAGACAAAAAATTATAAACAATGTGAATAAGCTTATTAAAATTATAAACAGTAAGTACATTAAAATATAAACAGAGTAAGCTATGTAAAAAGATCCTAAACTGAAGTAAATACACTGACAGGCAAAAAATTCCACCCACTTGATTTTTCCATGTTTTCATCTAAAAATATTTCTGTAAAGTTGTATTTGTAAATAATACTTAGTATTTATGGAATTTTATAATCTTTTTTACCTTTAATAATCAAAATGTGATTGGGTAAGAAAGATTAGAGAAAAAAAAAATGAAGAACGAACCATTATTATTCTTAACCTGTACCACTACAACCCATGAAGGATCTTGGGTTCAGTACTAACTAGGGAAAGCACTGTTTCTAGGTCAACGGTTGTGCAAGGAGGTGATTTGACCGAGATCACGCTCAACCGCCAGGTTTTCCCCCTTAATTAATTATTTAATTAAGGGTACCCATTTTATAGAGGCTGGGTGTGCCCCAGGAGGGACTTTCTGACCCAAGGTCGCCCCACGGCCAATGAAACAGATAAATAAATTTTCTGCCATGAACCGGGGTTCGAACTCGGGACCTTTGCATTGGAAGCTCAGTGCCCTACCACTGAGCTACCCCGCTCCCCCTCCATTATTATTCTTAAAGAAATTAATTACATCATCGTTTAGTAGCGCGTGTTTCCTCAATCTTGCCTTCACTACTTCTTGAAGACGCCTCGGCATACTTTCCATCAGCCGGAAATGTCCCTTTGCTGGAGGATAGCCCATTCCTCCCGAAGAGCCCTTTCAAGGTCCTGCTGTGTATCAGGAAGTGTTGCACGCGCTCTTATTCGTCTTCCGAGGTTATCCCATAAATGCTCAATGGGGTTCAAATCTGGAGAACATGTTGGCCAGGCTGAAAACTCAATATTGTTCTGTTGAAGGAACGTCTGCTCTATGTGGGCGTGCATTAGAATAGAATGATCGCCGATTTCGTTGAAGATAGGCAACACATGAGGTTCCAAAATCTCATCTACATAGCGAATGGCCGTCAAAGACCCTCCAGGAACAACAACCAATTCTGTGTGGCGCTCCATTGAAATCTCAGCCCACACCATTAAGGAACCACGTTGGAAAGGTTGGCTCTGGGAAAAATTACAGGCTGCATATCTTTCGTTTCTTCTTCTCCACACCCTTTCACGCCCGTCTGGAGATCGAGGAGCGAATCTTGACTCATCTGTAAAAAGTACAGCACTCCATTCGTCCATAGTCCTATGGCTGTGTTCTCGAGCAAAAGCCAGCCGTGTTACTCTGTGAGTTCTGGTCAACTCCGGTCCTCTTACTGGACGAAAAGCCATTAATCCATACTCGTTTAATCTTCTCCGAGCGGTACGTTCAGAAATTTGCACACCTCGAACTTCTTCGAGCTGATGAATCGCTTGAACAACGGTAGGGTGACGGTTTCGTAAAATTCTCAAAGTCAAAAACCGGTCATCCCATGGTTCTGTTACCCTAGGCCGTCCAGAACCGGGCCTTCTATTGTAAAAACCAGTTTCCCGAAAACGCCTGACGGCGTGAAGTTTCATATGGAACTCCGATGGCATTAGCTGCATATCTAATGGAACGTCCATCATCAATAAGTGCCACACCACATCCTCAGCACTAAGAGGCATTTTAAAACTTAATATTGAAAAAATTAAAAGCCGGAGACTAAGAAATGTGCTGCAAGAAACAGCACTGAACTAATGATACTGAATAAACATTTTGATTCCATAGAAAGTAAACATTGGAATCTAGAATTATTTCATTGAATTAAGGATTAAGGGTTATTGTCCTCTATGTAAACATTCCTAATTGAAAACAAACAAAAAGATTACCTATTTATTCATTAAAAACAATAGACCAATCCAAAACAGAAATATTTTTAGATGAAAACATGAAAAAATCAAGTGGTTGGAATTGTTTGCCTGTCAGTGTAGATGGTAACAATTGTTGTAGTTTAATATATAATATATGTAAATGTGAATATTGTTTCTTCATCTCTTTATGGTTCCTTTTTATCCTACTCACCACACCCGCAAGGCCGACACTTGGTTAGATTTCTTCATTGTAGACTCCGAAAAAATCTCTCCTCTTCTTAACTGCCAGTATCCTTCTTATCGTCTCACGACATGATCCTAATAACATATAATATCCAAACCCCTCTGATTTATCTGAGAACCTTTACTTTCCATCAGGTAGACACTTTCACCCGTGAAAAAATACTACCTGACCTTGAAACCTTAGACTTGAACGAAATATATTCCTAATCCTCCATCGACTCCATGGTTTAGATCCTGACTTTCAATATCCTTAACACCCATGCTCCCATAAAAACCTCAACCTTTCGCAGGGCGGCCTGCACCTTGGATGTGCCAAGAAATTAATTTTTGTATTCT